CATTCGTAAAATTTCAAATCCTTTATATCATTTCCGTTTGTACAATCATTTATACATTCAACGCAATATTTTAGCCCGTTTTCTATTACCTCGGTGCTGACTGGGCTGGTAACATGAGTACTGAAGTGGAAGAATATGTCAGTGTAGTACGTGCTTTTGCGAAACGTGCTAAACAGCCGACTGTGATTGATGGGGAAGTATAATCTCAATGGAAACCAACGAGGAGTGAAATGCCACTTGATAATCATGTTTCTACAGTAAAAATTTAATACTCGAATAACCCGTCACTGTTCTTGATAGTCCCGACAAAGAAGTGGAAGCACAAAAGCCAAAGGCGGTACCCACTCGGTTGACAAGTAATTGGTGGACTCCAATTATGTCTCACAAAATACACTAACAAAGTCTGAAAGTAAGAAGGAAATCTACCCTGTTGTGTCCAGAGAAAGCCTAATCTTATAAAATATTGTTGTAAGTAATTTGCCAGAATCAAATGATTTCGATCCTGGTCCCAAAAGTAGACAAGGGCATGTTTTGGAAAAGCTAGGAGAATATATTCGTAGTATTTTAGCGGATAGCTCTAAAGGAGTTCAGGTCAAAAAATTGGTTAGAATAGGCAAGAGGACTGAGGACAATCTTGAACCCCGACCACCCAGACTCCTTAAGGTAATCCTAGGATCGGAGAAGCAACGTGATCTTCTGCTAAGTGGCGCTCATAGTCACGACAATACCGACATGCGAGTAAGACCTGATATGCCTCTTGAAGATAGAATAAAAAGGAAGACGGCACTATCTGAACTAGAAACCCGTCTACAAAACGGTGGGGAAAATCTGCGATTAATGGGTTTTCGGTTAGTCAATTCTTGGAAGAGAACGCTACCAAAGCGTGTGTGGATAGGCCGTTCTCCTTAGGAGTTTTATGTGCCAAACTATCCGCGAACTACTACAAGGATGGGTGTGAAGTATCCTCATGATTTTATGGCATATTATTCACCTTCCAATCTTACACGGAACCTCGATTGGTAGTTTAGAAACGTGAATCTTAAACGTGACATATTAGTTAAAGTTCTCACGGTTTTTGATCCACTGTCAGACCTACTGATTTACGTTTATGACCAAATGTGCAATGAAACATCATAAACAAGTATTTAAATCTCATGTCCTTCAGCACTTTACTTTCTGTGTGAGTGAAATTAGTATAGATAGTTTGAGAAGTAATATAAATATTTTCCATACTTTTGGAATTCCTTTGGCGCGCCATCAAATTCAATCCAGCTTGCTAAACGCCTTTTCAGTATTATACGTTGAAACGCCTCGCTTACGTCAACTGAAATGTCTCTTGAACATGAAGCACTTATTAATTTTTAGAACAGTTATTCCTTGCAATAAATCTTTACTAACTGAAGGAAGTACTACAAATATTTAAGTCCTACCGGTTACTGGATATTTCGTCTTTACTTCTGAGTTTAACAGCGATTCGCACAAACTTCGCGTATCTATACCTCCTGAGTTTATCTTATCTTTTTAACGTTGTTTTCTAGACCTTATCTTGAAATTAAATAAAGGCGTTGAGGTTCACTACAGCAATTGGGATCACAGACCAAGTTACGAAGCAACAATATTGTTGCTGTATATAGAGCCAACTTGTGCACTACAAAATAGAGACTGCTAAATTATTGCTTTTGGCAGCTATTATGTGTTTTTAATACAGCAAAAGACGACTTAAGTATGAGAAAACGTAATATTCATGCAACAGAAACAACCCACGACAATAGAAATACGGAATGACCGCCTCCAGTCAGGTCGTTCAAGGTCGTTGAAACGAGGCGACGGCTTTGAAAAAATCCAACGTGCACTTTCCGGGTCGTCCATATTTTTTTCTGTTTTTTTCCAGCTCTCTCCACTCAAACTACTCAAAATACTTCACTTGCACATAGGGTATCTTCCAGCCAGACGCAAACTGTTGCATATGCATCAATCATTATCCTTTAACCTGCATTTAAGTTTTTCCCACCGTTCCTTTGCCTCTAATGTAGAGTTTTGTAGGATTGGTAAAGCCTAGCTGTTTAGTTTGCTCAAGTTTTAGGAAAACTTTACTCAGATAGGTGGTTTTCATGCGCCAATGCATCCTTATAAGAATTTACAACTAATGTGGTTGGGTCTTCGTATATAAATACAAACATAAGCTTAATGTTGTAGCAATAACGGTTCAGGAAGTATGATAGTCTGGCACGTAGTTGTCTTCCTTTTGACTATTTAGCAGGACGAGCGTGTTGGTAACTGTAATTTGACTCCGGATTTTCTCTAAACAGAGTAACAAATTCCTTAACTACCACCTGCGCCTACAAAATGTCGTAAATATCTTTTATGAGAGAATAGAAAAATAGATGGTATATATGGCATATGGTATCTAATGGTTTTTTATAAACTACTAGACAATTTCAGATTTATAATCATATCACCCCGGGTCGTTTTATGATAAGATAGTAGGCTTCAACCGGTTAAAATAAAGAATTTTTGAGGTCACATAATTGCGTTTCGTCACAATTCCGAGCAATAACTATCTTTTGGGTATCACTGAGATTTTGGTGAACAAGTGTTGCATACTGATATCCTGTTGACCGTCCGCTGCAACTGTGCCCAGACAATCGTTTACTTTTAACAAGCATTAGTTTTAAGTACAAGGAGGGACATCGTCTAAAATGGCGGTCGCATGCACCAAACCAACGATGAACTCAACTAGACCATATTGCCATCAGTCATCGTTGTTGAGGTTCGAAAGAAGACTACTGCTCGTTCTGGAATACATGCTTGGACTCCGATCATGTTCTAATACAAGCACGTATTTGCTTGTGCTTCACTGGACACGGTAAAGCCACATTAAGAAGACTCATTCGAGTTAAACTCAGTGACGAGAAAGTCAAAAGTAGATTCCAGGAACAACTTAGGCAACTCCGAAAACGAGGCCGACCCGGATGTTGCTTAGCAAGATATACAAACAGCAGTGACATCTACTAGTGATTTGAAACAAAGGACCATGAATAACCAGTGCATTTGTGCTACATCTCTTGCACTGCTAGACTCTCGTAAACTTATCCCATCAGGCTCCGAACACGATGATGAGCGAAAACAAATCAAATCTAGGTTAGCCCAAAGTCTATGGAACGATCGTGAGCAGTGGTGGGCAACGAAAGCAAAACAAATGGAAATGGCAGCGACTGTAGGTAACACCAGGCAGCTTTCCAGACTAATAAAAGAAACCGAAACTGGGAAGTCAAGTGTAAGACAATCTCTGAAAAAGACAACATTCTCATCTGCTCGCAGTACAGAGGTTTAGAACGATGGAGGAAACGCTTTAAGGAGAAGTTGGGCTTGCCTCCAACTATTTCACAGCTACCTACCATTTTTAAGCATCCTGAACGGAACATTGAAATAGGCCCTTGACTCTAATTGAAGTTCAAAAAGCTGTAGCTAATCTGGAACGAGGAAGAGCAGATGGATTGGCTCAAGTGGTCTTTAAGTAAGGTGGTCCAATTTTAGCGATTAGGTTGATTAATATTTTAGCTAAAATCTGGGAGTTGGATGGAATCCCATCTGACTGGTCGCAATCACTGATTGTCCCAATATATAAGGAGTCAAAATCATCCTGTGATAACCATGGAGGGACTAGTTCAACTAATATAGCATGTAAAATACCAGCCCCAATTGTTGTCGGACGCCTAACTAAGACTCGTGAACTGCAAACACGAGGAAATCAGGCTGACTTCAAACCTGGTCGTGGCTGCATCGACCACATATTCACCATTCGCCAGATCTTAGAACACAGACATGCTTATCGGCGTCCGACAATGACAGTTTATCTTGACTTAAAAGCAGCATTTGACTCTGTAGACCGAGAGGTTCTGTGTCAGTGTCTGTCATTGAAAAGTGTTCCTCAGAAGTACATAAACCTTGTGAATGCTCTGGTTTATGTTGTAGCTGATTGAGTTCTCCACTTGTCCTTCAAAGTATTAGCTTCTAGGTCATTTTGTCTGCGAAAATCACTCATATATTCGATACATACTTAGAGTTTTGGGATGACTTTACTTTTCTGTTTAAGATAACTTATTTAATATGATCCTTGTCGCAACATTGTGGTACTTAATACGGGGCTGGATACCTTGTTTAAGAGTATCTGTGTCAGATATGGCATTTGATCAGGATGGCCCACGTTACCATTGATCACTAATTAATTCTGGCTGGCATTTGTACACTACCGAACTCACGAAATTGATCTCAACAGTTGCTATCATTTTTTATCCATAGTGCTTTACTCAGTGTCATTAATTTTGCGAAAATTTCATAGACTGTTATTTACACCAACTTATTAAATCTATTCAGTATGGTATTCACCAGATTACTACTTTTACCGTACTCACCATCGAAACTTCCATCTGACGCTATCATAGGTATCCTTCTGCCGATAATGCTTCTTGTGACGGGTTTTTCAAGGATTGATTTGTCACTGGATTCACTTTATTTAACTTCAGTCTCATGGACCCTAGTATTTGCTGTATGGTGAAGATTCGATATAAGTTCACAAGACTGTCTTGTATTTTCGGGTTACGTGTGGTGTAGGTTGTCCATCTGGCATCCAAGCAGCGAATATATTGTGTAGAAGTTGCTTATCTCCTTTTTAGGTATGTATGGACTGCGATATTCTAGTATTTATCTAGACAGTTTCATCTCACTGATCTGAAGCCGATGGACATATGTACCGGTTTCTACGTTGCCTATAACTGACCAACTCTTAAAGGAAGGGGAGTTGCTGTTAGTGTATTTTCCTAACGAATAAGTCTGTAATTCGCAGCACTAAATATACGACAGAGACATCGTGTTGCTTTGCTTCAGTCACAATGTGTTTTGCTCTTGAGACGTTCATAAACTTTAATCTGGTTCCTTAGTAGCTTTTTGTAAGTATGGTTATCAGCTTATAATTCAATCTTTTTTCATTTCAAAGAAATATGCAGCCCCCTCTTGTCATGAGAATACTTGCTGCCTCTGTATCTTTAGCCGATAAGGCCTGTTTTTTGATTCGTGCGGTATATGATTCCAAAGACTTGGCCATTATCGACAAAGGAGTTGACGATTTGCAATCCAGAGCTGATCGAGATTCTCAGCGGTGCATAGTACAATCCTTGAACGAGACCTTCCCGGGTCTTCATGTTATTGGTATCTTTAATGTTTACTCTAATAACTCGAAAAATAGGCGAAGAAGGTGATCTGGATCCTGGAAATCTATCTACGTCCACTGAGTTAAACTCAACTGTTCTTGAACACCACTGTCCTCCAGAACTAAAAGATTTGTCACTGGAGGATATTGTAGTTTGGGTGGATCCACTGGATGGTACAAAGGAATTTACTGAAGTATGTTTATCTATTTGATTTTTATTCATGATATCAAGTAAAATACAACCACATACTAACAGTAGATGTCCATTCATGGTTTTAAACTCTTAAGTAAAATTAATTTTCCCTGTGTACGTGCTTCTTCTAAATACAGGGCCTTGTTGAGTTTGTTACAGTTCTTATCGGAATTTCGATTGCTGGAAAGCCTGTGGGTGGTGTTATCGCTCAACCCTTTTACAAAACCAATACAACTGAGCCGCACTACACGACTCGAATCGTTTGGGGACTTGTAGGTCTGGGTGTGTTTGGCATAAATCCTCTGGTACCTTCTTCAAAATTGCCATATCCAGTCAACCAAAATGCCCAAAAACTTACTTCACCTCATATTATTGTGGTTACTCGATCCCATCGCTCTACTACTCAAGATTTTGTCGACGGAGCATTCTATCCCACTGAAGTAAGCATTATTGTATTGTTACAATACATTTTTTGAATTTCTTGTGTAGGTATGTTCAACACTTTTACATATCACATAGTTCTCAAATATTTGATATTGAGCTGTAATTATGGGTGTAAAATGCTTTGTATCGCTCTTAAAATCAAATAATCTATTAAACTCTACCCTGGGAGTTGAAAGGTCTTCATTTTGAAGAGTTATGAAGCCTCATAGTGGGAGCCGAAATTCTTTGCCATTCACGAGGCTGATACTCTTCTAACAACCAGAGAAACAGTTTTTATAGGTACATGGAACGTTCGGACAATGTGGAAGACTGGGAAGACCAGACGAATAGAAACGGAAACGAGGAGATACAACTTTAACGGTGCTTGGAATCATTGGAACCCATTGATTCCAAGCTGGACAGGAAAGGTTATATTCGTAAGAGATGCTGCTGTACTCTGATCACGGAGAAGAAAATGCTCCTCACACTCAAGAAGTTTCTTTGACGCTGTCCAAAGAAGCACCTAACGCAATTGTAGGACGGGAATCATGGATCCTGGATCATCAAAGCGTCATTCAAAACAAAGGAGGGAATCACAATGAATGTTATCCAGTGTTATGTACCCACCAATTATAGCAGTGACAACGATAAAGGTCAGTTCTACGGGAGGCTGCATTCGATCATAGCGAAATGTCCAGGAAAGAACCTGACCATCCTAACGGGAAACTTAAACGCCAAAGTCGGAATGGACAACATCGTTTATGAGGATATCATAGGATGACACGAACTGACTGAGAGATAGGAATAAGAATGGCGAGGGACTTGGAAATTTATGTTTATTCAACAAAATGGTTTTAGGTTGCACAATATTTCCCCACAAACACATACAAAAAGCTACATGGGTCTCACCGGACCACACCACAGAGAATCAGATAGATCACATTTGTATCAATAAAAAATTCCTAAGGACAATTGAGGATGTAAGAACCAAGAGAGGAGCTGACATAGCTTCAGATCACCACCTGGTGGTGGCCAAGATGAAACTGAAGCTAAAAAAAACACTGAACAGCTGGGAAAACAGCATTAAAAAGGTTTAATGCATCGTCCCTTCGAGATACTAACAAACTCAATCAATTCAAGATAACTCTCAACAACAGGTTTCAAGCCTTACAGGATCTACTAAGGGAAGAAGAAACTATTATGGAGGAAAACTGGAAAGGTATCAAATAATCACTAAATTCAACATGTCAGGAGATTCTGGGCCACAAGAAGCATCAACATAATGAATAGATCGCCATCGAAACCCTAGATAAGATTCAGGAAAGGAAGAACGAGAGTACAGCAATTAACAACAGCCGAACAAGAACAGAGAGAATCAATGCACAAGCTGAATACACAGAAGCAAATAGGAAAGTGAAAAAAGCATTAAAACTGACAAGCAAAAATATGTGGAATACCTAGTAACAACAGCGGAAAAAGCTGTAAGTGAAGGAAATATGAGACAGCTATATGATACAATGAGGAAACTAGCAGGGAAATATAGTAAACCAGAGAGACCGGTCATGGACAATGAAAGTAAGCCAATCACTTAGATTCAGGGACAGAGGAACAGATAGGTGGAACACTTTGAGGAACTCTTGGATAGGCCAGTTGTCTACTCAAGGTACACAATGCAAGTTGGCAGGATAGCATCAGCAACAGTTTACTGTGGGAGAGAACAAACCAGCTTCCATCTGGAGAGGAAATTATGAAAAGACGCTGGAAGTATGTATGACATACATTGCAGAAACCATTAAACTGCGTCAGTAGGCAAGCTCCAACTTAGAATTCTGAAGGGACACATAAAAGAAGACAAAAAATACATTATTTCGGGAATTAGAAGCAGACATCAAAAGGATGAATAGCAACTGGAAAGGACAGAGTTGGATAGAGAATGTTGGTGCGCGACCTATGCTTCTCCACGAGGGTTAGCAGGCCTAGCTAAGTAAGTAATCGTTGTTCTAGTTTTTACGTAGTTTTCTTATGTGTGGTGTGTACTATTATTATACATGAGCTACTTTACGAGCTCGTGTTTACAACCACTTGGTCACCACTAGTGATGAATGCATACATGAATACATGTGTTCCCAAGCACTTTAAGCACGATATTTATGCATTCCACCAATTTCCAATTTACATGTTTCGCTTATTTACAGAAGCAAAATTAATTTTGTGAGAAAACCCTTTTGTTGCTTGTTTTGTTAACATTAGTAGTAATCTGTGAATCAAAAGCGAATATTAAACTTACAATATGTGTTAAGTTTTCCGTTTGAGACATGTCTATAGTCAAATTATTATTAATTCCGTAAAATATACCGAAACCATTGTGACTAGAAAAGTTCAACTGTATCGGTGTCGGGAAATAATTCTAGATTTTCTACGTCATCCCATTGTAGTTTCAAGAGTACATCTTCGTAAAACATATTAAATGATCTACATTTGCAAATCAGAGCAAAACATGCTAGCAAGTAGTATTAGTTTGAAAACCTTGTAGTTTATTTCTGTTTTTTCCACTGGCGTTTTATGCTTAATAGTCTTGATAAACCTCCCATTTTCGTCGGGCTGAAATGTTTGATATGCTAAAAACCATTCGGTTCTGTACTTCCGAGTTTATATAGTTTAACTGAAAATCGTAAACGTAGTAATTTACTATGACTAATATTATCTATATGTCGTTAACCTACACAGTAACTAGCTAAATAGCTAGCTAAATTTCTAAACCTAATCCGCAATATTTATGTATTTTTATTTATTTATTTTAACATAAATATTGGTACAAAGGGGCACCGAATACATATGTGCCACACAAGTCACTTGATTTGTGTGTGGGCTATGATACTGCTCGGGTGTCCAAACCGAAGCAGGTGGTTTTCTTAGGGGGCCACACCCGGAGCCATCGACCTGAAGGTCTGATCCACAAGGCAGTGGAGCAACGTTAGGAGTGTACTCCCATGGTAGCCGATGACCAATAATAGGTTAATACGCCTTTTGTCCCCTCAGGATACTGGAGCCCATATGCACCACTGGTTTGGAATCAGAGTTTTCCAACCCCCGTAGGTGGACTCTCCGTGTCCACCAACCCGGTTAAAGCGCCAAACACTCGCTTTTCACCCTCTCAATTTCGTAAACACTCCCGTCACGAGAATTCAGTGAGTAGTAGCTCCGTAGGAGTGGCTGTATACATGTGACCATGTGAGAGAGTATTTTTGGGGAGGTGACTCTCTCCACCCTCTGCCGTACCGTGGCATTCGGGGGCAATAAGCAATAAATTGTGTAAGTTTTCCTTAAAAGATACATTTAAACTAACTGACCTTCTTGATCGTTTTGTTATTAAAGAAAAGACCATGCATTCTTTTGATGTATACCTTGTTTTTACGAATGTTCCCCTTTTCCCTATTCGGTCAACACTGTTGAAAAATTTACTTTTGTTGTGTACTCTGAAACTTCATGTTTAAAGGTGAGCATCTTCGACAAGTTGATGGTGCTGCTATGGGTAGTCTTTTGGAACCTTTCTTAGCTAGTGTATTTGTCATATGTTGAGAGTGTGACAAATGAGCTCATCAGTGAGGTAACTTCATAAGAGATACGTGGATGATGTATTAGTTATGTGTGATAATAATTTCGATACTGCTCAGCCATTAGATAAACTAGATAGTTTACAGGATAATATCGCACTGACCTATGAGGAAGAAAGTAATAACAGATCATCCTTTTTAGACGTACTTTCGAGTCGATGGGAGGTTGGGATTATAATGCGGTCAGTATATAGAAAACCAACATGGAGTGATCAATATTTAAAATTCCAGTTTTTATCCGTTGTAACACGAGCGAAGCTTCGTAAGTGCCTCTCTAACAGCACTCAAAAAATATGTGTTGCAGATATGTTTGAAGAAGATGCGGAATTGCTGACTGACACAGTGATATCAAACGGTTATCCACTGGAGTTTATAAATAAGTGCAATAGACAGTCAACACCAAATCTCTTTAATTCTGTTGCGAAGGAAAGTGTTAACATACCTCTACTATTTGGAAGTGAATATAACAGTATGATTTTAGGACGGAAACTAAAATCAGCCATCGAAGACATATTACGCTGCTAAACTGATCATGATCGGAGGTACTAATCCCATGATTCCAAATAAACCTAGACATTGCACGAGTAATGCGATGATTTCCCCTTCTTTACATACTATGTTGATTTTCTCTTTAAAGTATTACTTTGTTTACTTGAACCGTCATTTATTTGACCCTTATTAATTTTCACTTAAGATGCCTTGACAAGTATATGTGACTAGATTGTTCGATGTGTAACTGCCCAAATACGAAACGTTTTTCAGACCAACTTAGTCTTCTCATTTTTCTATCAAAATGTCGACTTCTTGGTCTTTCTTTATTGTGTATAAAATCTTATGCCATTCAGTAAATATGCTGTAAGTAGGATCTGTCGATAAGTTTTCACTTTATGTAGCTCAAAACCTTGTTTTTGACTCTCTGTATCTTGAAACTTTTTTAATGATGCAAGTTCGGTTCTAATTTCATGTATTTTTAGTAATGAAACTGGTTATTTTGGATGTGAGAGTTTATGCACAAGTTTTATCCTTAAAATCCGAAATATACTCGTGCAGTATTTGTTATGCTATCTCATTTTTTAATCCCATATCTTATTTTTTCTTTTCATAGGTTCTTCGTGTAGGAGGGTGTGGTTATAAAGTTCTAGTGCTTCTGGAAGGACGTGCTCATGTTTATGTGTTCCCTAGCCAAGGTACTAAAAAGTGGGATACATGTGCTCCAGAAGCTGTGCTTCTGGCATCTGGTGGGATACTAACAGATTTAACTGGACAGTCTTACAAATACGATCTGAATGCTAAACATGATAATCTTCGAGGCATACTTGCTACTCCTGTCGCCGATTGGTTGCCATCGTATGTTTCTTGTTTGCCAAAAGAAGTGCTTGACGATTTCTCAGCTCGTGATTAGGTAATACTAAATCTTATTTTTTGTTTATTATTATTATTGACTTTGTTCAATATTAGATGTGTAGTGCACTATAGAATTTTCAGCACAAAGTGTTGGTCATTACATACATTTCCTATGTGTTCATGTGAATAAGCCTTTCTCTTCGCTATTCCGTAGTCGTATTTCTTTTACTTGATAACAATGTTTATATGACATTCTATATCATCCATAGACTAATTCGTATGTGTTCAAGTGTGTGATTATTTTGTTCCTTTGATTCTTTCTACCAATGTTATATGTGTTTTAAAAATAGTAATTATTTGGACGAGTATTTAATGTGTTCAGGTGCCCACTTCTTTTCGGCTGTATAAATTGTTTTTTGTTGGCTGAAAATCATTTATTATTGTAATCTAACTAATTTTATTTTGTGAAGTCCTAATGGTTTCGATTGAATGTTGTGATCCATAATTTTCGTTTCTGAATCTTTCTTAATTAAAAAAAGTCTCAGTCGGTTCAATCGTATTAAAGCATATATTTATTATGTAAGAAATAAATAAAGCTAAATTATTATTAATGTTGTCTTAACTAGTAAAAAGACGATTCTATGATACTGGTTGGTAATAGTTGATATAAAAGTGGAATTATCATTAGTCAAGTGGACACGGGAGTTATGGAGAACAGGTTTTCAATTATCTCGACAAGAATAAATTAGTATGTTGGTTGGATGTAAATGGAAAGATTAAGTATGTGACCCAAATAAAATGTCATTGACTGACTTGCACGGAAGCGTTATAAAATTTAAAAACTGCCTACCATTCTTATTTACAGATTATAAACAACATTATTAGTATGATAGTTGACAGTTTTATTTAGAAAAATATAGGTTTATCATAATTAATCTATCTTAAAACAAATAAACTCAGAAAACGAAACGTGAAAACTATCGTGTATGTAACTTTCTCAACTAATTATGTTAACACCTCTCTTTGCTAAGTCATTCATACTAGTAGCCATTACAGTTGATGTGAAGAATACGATTTATTCACTTTTCTCCATCACATAGACTCCCTAATTCTGATAGATATAGGAATCACGAACCACAAAGTGACAGTATGCTATCCTTTCAAATTTCCTGACTGTGTTCTTTTGTTTTTCTAACGAAGTAGGGGCTACAAGCAAAACACACAACAGATTTTGGTTAGCGAGACGTCAAACTGATACTGGTTCTGATATTAAGTTGATTATTCGTGGAATATGGCTGATACTAAGGTCCCCTACTGTTTGCGAATTAACATAAATTTGGGGATGATGCTGATAACAAGATATTTGGTGAAATCCAGTGTAATGTCTCATTTAGATCCGAAACATAATGGGGCTTGTGTCACTTTACTGTCATGGTTCATTTACAAGTCACAGCTAAGTAATTGATAACTGTCCCAAAAGCGTCCCAGCTATGTAATGATTAGTATTAAATATTCTGGTACATTATGGTCTTGATTTGGCCGAGAGTGGATTGGGTTCGCCCTCCCTCTCGAAATGCTCTCACATGGCCACGCGTATACAGCCTCTGCCAGTGAAGTCCTACTCACTGCCTTCTCGTGGCGGGGGTGTTGTTTACGAAAACGAGGACGAAAAGCGAATGTCCGGCGCTTTAACCGGATCCCAAACCAATGGTGCGCATGGGCTCCAGTATCCTGCGGGAACAAGTGGCGTATGAACTAATCGTTGGTCACCGGCTACCATGGGAATACATCTCACGATGCGACGCTGCCTTGTGGATCAGACCTTCAGGTCGAAGGATCCGGGTGTGGCCCCCTAAGAAAACCATCTGCTTCGGTCTGGGCACCCGGGCAGCATCACAGCCTGCACACACACACAAATATGGTGTGGCGCATATATATTTGGTGCCCTCTTGTACCAATATTTATGTGTTGAAATAAAATCCCCTCCCATCCATTCGGTTCTAAAATGCGCTTGGATTCCATAAAATAAGCTGAAGTAAAGCTTTTGGGGAATACTGGTCGAGAAAACAACTTTGAGTCCCTGGCGCAAGTAGCGAACCAGGATTTCCAATGTCGAAGGTATAGTGGTTCATTTCCATGAGTAAACAAAGTTGCGGCTGTCCAGAACGCTTTGATGTTTGATTAGTGTGCTATATCCAGGACTTCGGGACATTCTTCTGATCATGTGATTGGAGAGTACTGAAATGCTACTTTTGCAACAGATGCTTCTAGTTATTTGAGATATACTTATCATCGTACCAAATCCAAATATCATTGGCAGAAGACCCTTTATTATCATGATTATCATGAACAAATATGAATACAAAAGTGAGATGTTATCCATCCTCAGTGACGAAAGTAAATTTATGCCTGAAGCCGAATTCGGAGGTATTAGCAAACTAGAGGGAAGAATAAATTCGAACCTAGTAAAACTGCTACACATTAATATTATTGGTAGGGAGGAATTTAATTTCCTAAAACCTATTGTTTCTGAGTATCGTCATCAACATTGATTACCTAAGATTCACAATCAGTCAGTCAGTATCAACGTAGAACTTCGTACGTACGTACATCAGTTCGAGTTGCCACACCACATTAGCACAGAGATGCAGTGGTCGATTCAAATCCCGTAGTAGTAGAGGTAATAAGAGTATAAGCAGTAATCGGGAAGATTAGTGTTTGGAGATGTTATTTAAAGAGTATAATACAGTGAAATAAATTTGGAAAGAGAAAAAAAAGAGACAAGGAGGAATAAAGATCAAAATTTGGGAGAACACAAGAGTGGATGCACCTGCGCCATTGCAAACGATTTTGAGCCATGTCATTCAAGGTCTCTAACCATCGGTTGCTATCATCTCGCGGTCCCCAACCAGGTAGTCTACACCTACCAACATGACTCAGTCCACTTGTCAGTGACTTCATGGACTTGTGCCATGTTTTGGTTGGCCGCCCCTAGCTTTCTTCCAACCTACTCCTATACCACTGAACATAGCACGTCGAGGCAGTCGGTCGTTGGGCATACGTAACACGTGTCCCAGCCATCTCAACTGATGAAGTTTCACTACGTCATCAATTGATTTGCCATCCTTACCTAGTACCCGTTTCCTAACAACTGCGTTACTTACTCGATGGTCCCAGGATATACGAGCAATATTTCGAAGACACCTATGATCAAATACTAGTAACCTACGAATATCCTCTACTCTTACCGGCCATGTTTCACTGCCATAAAGTAGGACGGAACGAACTGCTGCGCAGTAAACCGTCCTTTGGTTGATAGACGGATATCTCGCCTACGCCATAAATGACGCAAGTTGGCAAAAGCTAGTCGAGCCTTCTGTATCCGTGCTGAGATTTCGTCACACACCAGACCACAAGGGCTGATGAGACTTCCAAGATAAGTGAAGCGATCGACACGCTCAACTACTTCACTCCCTATCATTAGTTCGGGTGTCGATGCAACCCAATCCTGAAGCAACATTTTGCATTTCGAGGGGGAGAATCGCATCCCGAACATGCTTGCATTGTTGCTTAGAGTGGTCAGAAGACTCTGCATTTTGTCAGCGTCTTCACCAAATAAAACTATGTCATCAGCATATTCTAAGTCAACAAGTGAACCTCCCGGTAGAAGTTCAACCCCTGGAAATTTAGATGAGGAGAGTGTTATCTCTAAAAGTACGTCGACCACAAAGTTGAACAAGAATGGGGAGAGTGGACAGCCCTGACGAACACCACTTGAGGTAATCAATTCTGATGACAGTTCGCCATAAGCTCTCACTCGACCAGTTGTGTTCGAGTAGAGAGCCTTTATAAGGTTAATGTACTTCTTTGGTACTCCTTTCAGTGACAAACACTGCCATAGAACCTCACGATCAACAGAGTCGAATGCCGCCTTAAGGTCGAGAAATACTACCATTGCGGGGCGTCTGTGTTCTAGAACCTGACGTAGTGTGAATATCTGATCTATACAACCACGTCCAGGTCGAAAACCAGCCTGGTTTTCTCTAATCTGCTCTTCACGAGCTTTAGTTAGGCGTCGAAGTATTATTGAAGCTAATATTTTAGACACTATATTAGTCAAACTGATTCCTCTGTGATTGTCACAAGAGGACTTTTGTCCTTTCTTATAGACTGGCACAATCAGTGATTGAGACCAGTCAGATGGGATTACGTCCAGTTCCCAAATTCTACCTAAGACCTCAGTTAATCTCACTGCTAATACTGGACCACCATCCTTAAAAATCTCAGGAGTAAACCTGTCAGGGCCTGCTGCTCTCCCTCGTTTCAGATTTCCTATGGCTTTTTCAACTTCGTAAAGACGGAGGACCTACATTAACTTGCCATTCAGGTTGACTGGAGATCGTGGGAAACCGAAGTGTGGCTGAAGGCCAGTTGAACTGATCCCTAAAGTGTTCTGCCCATCGATCCAATCTCCTGGATTGAGAATGTATAATATGTCCATCTTTCTCTGAGATTGTTTCGCTAACAGTCGGTTCCTAATTCCGGTTTCCTTAACAAGTCTGAACAATTGTCTGCTATTACCTATTGCCGCTGCCTTTTCCATCTCTCTTGCTTTCGCTACCCACCACTGTTCACGATCATTGCGTAGACTTCTTGTCAGCTTGCGCTTAAGCTGACTCCGCTCTTCATTATGTTCAGAGCCAGGTGGAATGAGTTTCCGAGCATCTATCAGTGCGAAAGATGGTCGGATATCATTCCATGCTGCCTCGGGGTGGGCATCACCTATATGGCTGCCTAACTGTTTTCCTAGTTGTTCCTGAAATATACTCTTAGCTTGACTATCATTAAGTAGGGCTCTAAGAGGTTTACTTGCAGTGTCTTTCCTACGTCCAGTAAGACGCAGACAGATACGCGCTCGTACTAGAGCATGATCTGAATCTAAACATGTGCTCCAGAATGAGCGATAGTCTTCTATCGAGCCCCTCCATCGGTGGCTGATAGCGATGTGATCTATTAGAGTCCAACGTTGGGACGAAGTAGAGGGTCGCCATGTTAAAA